CATTTGAAACGACCACCTCACACAGTCACACTCTTCCTTTGTCTTCAAAAATTGAAATGGACAAGAAAAGAGACGAATTAGCATTGTTCACTAATTCTTCGCACTCAAGACCTGCCCTTTCAATTTTTCTACCTTCTCACGGTATTAATTTTTTTTTAACAAATTAATATTATTTACAAATATTAATTAAAAAAAAAAGATTTCATGAAATTTAAATATATTATCCATAAAAGATGAATTACTTTAATCTAAGATCGATGCTATTAAATCAAAACGAATTGGCTTATCCCAATATTAATTTACCTTTTTTTAACAAGAGGAGTTGGTTATTCTTACAAGGTGTCTTGTTGAAGACATTATTTGTCTTTTTATTTGATTGATTTTATTAATTTAATTTTTTAAATATTAGTTACTCTATCTACCAAAATTAATTTATAAAATGATTTTAATTTATTAAATAATAAAATTAATATTTATATGTTGAATTTTTACAAAAATTTAGAGAAAATACGCAATAATTTTAATAAAGCATAATAAAAAAGAAATATGACTGATAATTTTTTTTACATAATTTCACAAATAATTATAATGGTTTAAATATTAAGATTTTTTATTTTTTATTTTTAATAAATAAAAGAAAAATAATAAAATAAAGTGAAAATGTTGTTTGTCAGCATTCGTTGTTTTTTCCTACGAAATCCTAATGGACTCTGGAGCCAAACCATTTGGGGGTGTTGATACGGACCTTCGAACCAATGATTCCTCTCTAATATTTAGTGTTTGAATTTATTTAGTTAAAGGTTTAATTTTTATTAATAATTAAAAAATTCTTTTTTTTAATTCTCTTATGTTAAAAAAGAAAAAACTATTTTGGGTGAAGGATCCAAGTTTTCAAATTCAATAATTTATTTTTAAATTTTAATATTTAAATTTAATTAATTAAGATACCAACACTAATAACCATTTAAAAAAATTTTCACATCTCAAAATTTTCTTATGTTAAAAAAATAAAAAAACAGAACTTTACCAACCAATCTGATGGCCGCACGTCTCATTGAGGTTGGTGAGCTATTTATCAGATCTGAAAATTGAATCCCCAATTGCTAATATCTAACAATATTAACTTACTAACCATTGACCTTATAAAAACAAAAAAACAAAAAAACTATTTGGGGGTGATGGAATAGATACTAATTCTAAAATAAAAAGAGGTGAATTCGTGGCATTTTGTGCATTTGAAACGACCACCTCACACAGTCACACTCTTCCTTTGTCTTCAAAAATTGAAATGGACAAGAAAAGAGACGAATTAGCATTGTTCACTAATGTCTTGTTGAAGACATTATTTGTCTTTTTATTTGATTGATTTTATTAATTTAATTTTTTAAATATTAGTTATTCTATCTACCAAAATTAATTTATAAAATGATTTTAATTTATTAAATAATAAATTAATATTAATTATTTTATTAATAATTAACTATTTTAATAATTAAATAAATATATAAATAATTTAACTAATTTAATAATAATATTTTTTCAATAAAAATAAAAAATTTTGACTTTGATAATCTTAATAAAAATTTGTGTGCAAAAACCATTTGCCTCGATGTAATGTCCAAAGAGTTAGAGCAAATGATCTGTTAAAACTCAGAAGTTTTGAGATTTTTAAGTTTAAAATCTAAACTCTTGTGCTTAAATCTTGAAACCAACATGCATGGACAATGAAGAAGACAAGGGGACTCTCTTTTTTTTTTTTTAACTGAAAATTGAGAGAAGAAACAACTACAACCTCTTCACTGTGTCATGAACCATTATTATTGCAGCACAGTAAAGAATAAATTCGGTTCAACCTGAAGGTCAACTTTTGCTGTAACCAAAAAAAAAAAAAACTCAAAAATTGGAATAGGACGGGTTGAGACAGTAGTGAGATGTTTGTTTGTTGTAAAAGAATAGAGCAATGGTTGGGGTGTCATCCTCAAAGATGATTAGCTAGAAGTAATATCACTTTCTGATAGCAATGTTACATGTAGTGGTGAGCTGGACCAAAAACCACTATCATATTCAAAAGTGCTTTAGAAACAGTTATGAAATCGATTCCTCTCTTCCCCTCTTTCACATATTTCAAAACAGTAAAATCAATACCATGTGTGAGAAACATGACAGTTATCAGCTATTGACAAAGAAAGCATTTGGAAATTATACTATCTATACATAATCATTATACTTGGGTGGAATAATATGGAATAGCAGCTAGCTTAAGGCTCATAGCAGCTTCAAGCACCAGGACTAGGAGAAACCAAACTCTTTACATATGGAATCATAGCAAAATCACAGGCACGGCTAAGTCCCTTCACCGATTTATCTTTCATATTGTAAAGAAATAATTCTCCAACTTCCTCAACCACAAGCTCATTGCGTGCCCCCTTTTACAATAATCATTTGTCAAAACTTTACCATTCTTGGTAATATATATATGGAGAAACAAATTAAAGGTGGTTGGAGGGACGAGAAGATGCTCGAAATCTGAACAATTTTTTCCAAGATTTTGTTTGTAATTTCCTCCTTTACCCACACATCATAATGTCTTATATCATCTTAACAGTCACACTAACCGACCCTCCCACAAGTCCTAACACCCACGTGTTCATTCAATATGCCAATCGAAAACTTCTCTACTTCTAGAGTTTCTGTCTCAAAATCAAAATGTACCATAAAATAAAAAGTTTGACAACTGATCACTATCCCATATTTTGGCAATTCAACAGATGGATCCATTCCTATAGTCTTCCCTGCATCTGGTTCAAGCTTATAGCCTTCGTATTTTAGTCATTTACAATAGTGTTCCACGTAGCAGTCCTCAATCTTTAGCAGTGTATGGTTTTTGGTATGTGTAGAGGAGGATCCATGATGTTTACAACCTTATAATCATCAAGGGTAGAATCATAACCTAAACCTACACTTTCTATTTAGTCTGGTGGTGGAGGCGCCAAAATTGTCCCATGTTTCTTTGTTGAAGTGTTCCAAATTACCAGGTTGGGGCCACGAGGAATTAATGCATAACATACTGTCACACTCTGCTGACCACTTGATGAGAGGAAAATAATCTACTGGCCTTCTGGGAGCTAGAGACATTTCTTCTGCATGAACAACGTCCCCAGAGCCCAAACTTTTAGCAAGTGTTAAAACCAAAAACTCGGGTCCCACTCATGTCTCTGGAGTATGCAATGGTGGTGATCATTTTTAGATTTCGTATTTTGGAGACGGCTTTTAATGAATTTTGAATCATAAACCAAATTATCACATTAATTGTTTAAATAAACATTTGAATCCCATTAAAAATTGAACACAGAGTCTCAAATAAATATCAATAACAATATCAAATGAGATACACCCCATACCTATATTTACTAGTTGAATTTTTGTCACAAAACTCCTCACTTATTTAATCTTAATTTAAGAAAAAAATTCTATGTATCTATGAAACAAGGATGAATAAACAGAGTTAAGTACTATATTTATAGATATAATAATTATCAAGTCCCATTTGAGTTAGATTTTTCTTCTTTGTCTATCCATTTCAAATTAGAAAATTTTTTTTTGTGATATTGATTGTATAATGAAAGATAACTATTTTTCATTTATTATTTCATTTCATCTACATATCATGTGATTTGAATTTAAAATTTTTACTTTTAATAAAAAAAATAACCACTTAATTATTTAGGTCGTTCTCATTTCAAATTAGAATTAAATAGCTTTTTTTAATCCTTATTTAACCAAGACTTGTACCTCCTTTCCTTCCACCACTACAAATTAACGTATATATAAACAAATTATGTAAATTAGACCCTATACTCCACTTTAGGTTGATGATCGTACCCCATCAATTTTTTTTACTGAAAAATAACCCCGCTAATTGAAAATTACACAATTGAGTAAATGAAACAATGTGTATTCATGGACTAGTCACTGTGCATATCTATAGAGAAAGAAGGACCCGCATTGAGCTTGGAAGGAACTAAAGCCATTAACAAACTTAAAGAAACTTCTTCGAGGTTCCGTTGATTTGATTTGGCGACGTGCTGGCGAGAGATTTGATTTCGCGCGAAATCGAATCGGAGAAGGGTGTAAACACGGCGAACGGGTAATACCGGCGATTACCGCCGGTCTTCAGTTCCTTTTGGGTTTAGCTGCAGAGCTTTATAAACAAGGCCGAGTTCTATGAAGCCCGTTAAGGAAACAGCCATTTGTCGATTGGGCTGGTCCAGCCCATATTCACAGAATTGGCGGGAAAAGGAAGGAACGGTTACGGGTCTATGTAAGTCGGGTCATTTACTGATCGCAAGGACATCGCGCGTGAAACTAATACTTGGAGTGACATCACGCGCCAGGTCTTAAGAGCAAAGACATAGCAGGTGAATTGCACGTGCTATTTAGGAAGCGTGGGATACGCTGTTTTGTGTGATGTCCGAAGCTGCAAGAAAAAACCAAAAATTCTTTCCCTCCATACCTGAAAAGAAACCAAAACTCTTGTTTGTGGGGACAACCAAAAAGACAAAGCCACAAACTTACTTACCATAACGCCCTCACATCACCACACACAAATTTCCAAAAGAGAACCTTCGAAAGTCAAAACCAAGGCTAGGCACAGGGGTAGTTTAGGTAAACTGGACATTTACTATAACGGAAACGACGCCGCAGAGACTGGGGCATCCTTATTTCAAAAAGAAGTAGGTCCCACTTTCATAGATCTACGAGAATCTCTGACCCAAAGGCTAAAGCTTTACACTTTCCCTCTCCTGGAGAACCTCTGAACTCTAAAACCCTACCACCTTGAACTGTCGTAGGAGCTGGAAAAATCTAGAATTAGACCCAGAAAGGAAAATGCAGTAGGGAAAATAACGTCTCTTTCCCACACCCTCTTTAGAATTGTTCTACCTCTGTGCATTCTTTGTATATGTTATGGTATTTTTTCATCTTTATATGCTCTGTTTTTTAAGTGAAGACCCAAAACCCGGGATGAAGAAGATACTGAAGCAGAAACCAGGATCGTTCTTCTCCTACACAGCCCTCTTCTTGCTGTTTATCGCCAATGCAGCTCTAGTAACGTCCAAATCCACGATCGAGCCCTGTTCCAACTCCGACTCCTGCAATGCTCTGCTTGGCTACACCCTCTACACTGACCTGAAGGTAGCCGAGGTGGCGTCCCTTTTCCAAGTGGACCCTATTGCTATCCTCACAGCCAATGCCATCGACTTTTCTTACCCTGACGTTGAAAACCACATCCTTCCTTCCCAGCTCTTCCTCAAGATACCCATCCGCTGCTCATGCGTCGACGGGATTCGAAAATCTGTGTCCACCCACTATAAAACCCGCCCTCAAGACACGCTCTCGTCGATTGCGGACTCAATTTATGGGGGTTTGGTGTCTGCTGATCAGATTAGGGAGGCAAATTCCATTCAGGATCCTTCTGTTCTTGATGTGGGACAGAGCCTTATGGTGCCGCTCCCTTGTACTTGTTTTAATGGTACAGATAATTCGCTGCCAGCCATTTATCTTTCTTATGTGGTGAAACCAGTGGACACATTGGCGGGGATTGCGGCAAGGTACTCTACTACCATCACGGATTTGATGAATGTTAATGCTATGGGAAGTGCTGCAATTACAGCCGGTGATATTCTTGCAGTCCCTTTGTCAGGTAGCCTTTGACCCGATATTGCCATGATGAAAACTTCAAATTTAATCATGTAAATTGTGTTTTAGCTTTTGAGCGTTAGTTCTGTTTTGGTCATTTAGTTGGTTTTACGTCGGTGCATACTAATGCTACACGCTTTTTCTGTTTATCTTAGTTCTTAAATGCTTGTTCAATTTAGGTACTTTCAATAATAGTTTCCGTCGAGTGAAGCTAATCAGTGTGTCTAAATTTCAGTTTGGAGAATTGAGCTGTGATTTTGTTTGCTTTTGAGTTGTTTGCCACTTTTTATGCATCCCGATGGAGGTTAGATTTCACCTTTGTTTCTTGCTTTGCAGCCTGTGCTTCCAATTTCCCCAAATATGCCTCAGACTATGGGCTGATTGTGCCTAATGGAAGTTATGCTATCATAGCAAGCCACTGTGTTCAGTGCAGTTGTGGTCCAGGGAATCGCAAGTAATTGAGACCTTTTGTTTGCATATTGATTCAGTGATAGTAATTTCGGGTAATTAATTTATAGGAGATCCTATCCTCTGTCAGCTTGAAGTTAACTACTTGCTTGCTTCATACAGTTTGTACTGCATGCCATCTTCCTTGGCAGTTTCTTGTTCAAGTATGCAATGCAAAAAGAGCAAGCTCATGGTAGGGAATGTAACAGTTCAGCAAAGTAGTGGTGGATGCAATGTTACTTCTTGTAGCTATGGTGGTATTGTGAATGGAACAATCATCACGTGGTATGCTGCATCTTTCTGTTTCCTTGTGTTGTTTCTTTAATACTTACATTTTGAGTTCTTTTCTGGTTGAACCTTTTCTGTTCTCTCTACGTTCAACAGGTTGTCTACATCTCTTCAACCTCGATGCCCAGGTAATACTGTAATAGAGTTTGTTAAATGCTATTCAATTTATGGGACAGTAGGAAATCAAATAAGAAGCAGATTGTTCATTTCATGATCAAATCCTCTAGCCACTTTCATGGAATACAAGTTTATCTAGTTAGTTTTTCTCCTACCTTTGGAAGTTGAATTGACAGTTCTGAACTTGGAAAATATCTTTAGAAGACAGTCGTTGTCTTTATTTCTTGTTGTAAGAAACAATGATCTTTTATATGTTAAATACTAATTGAAGCAGTGTGGCTGAGATTGCCATCATCCATGTTAGTATTGCTGTTTTTATTCAATTTAATTATTCGCAATCTTGCTGCTCTGCTGTATAATTGTTGACAGTGCTACTGAGTTTTTGTTGTAAATTCCAGTTGACATTATGAGTGTGCGAGTTTACTGCTGATAATCATTTCATTTTTATAATAGACAAACATCTTTACATAGTAGATACTGTGTCATTTGGCTTGCATAATAATTGAGTTTTTTGTTGCATTTGCATTTCAAACAATGGTGCAGGACCCCAGCAATTTCCTTCCCTGGTAGCTCCACCTACTACAGTAAGCCGGGATTTGGAGTATGCCCCAGCACCTGCACCACAGTCAGATGGCACAGGGACAGTAACAAAACCAAAGTCTACAGTGCCAGCATCTGGGTCAATTCCTGTTTTTCCTCCTGCAAGTGGCCCTATGGCTATGGGGAGTTCTTCTAATGGTTGCTCATTGTCATTGGTGAATCCTTTAGCTACTTTCCCTATCGCTCTCTTGATATTGTTGTTTACCAAGTTGATCATGCCTTTACCCTTGTAATTTTGCTCATGGATCAGTTGTGTGCCAATATTGGTGCGGTTTTGCTTTTTACTCCACCCAAGTTGTTGTATGTAACCTCTTTATTCATGATTGTTATACAATGTTGAGGAATTGCTACCAGTAATTTGTGTTACTCAATTACTAATCCTGCAGCCTTATTTGGATTCTCGACCTTTCTTATCTTAAGAAATTCCTCTTGCATCTGCATAGCCTTTTCAAAAAAACTCATCTGCCGGTGCTTCTTTGCAAGAAAATAGTTCTTGAATGGTAGGAGCAACGTATCCAAACTCCCTGTATTCTGAATAGCCAACAGGATGTGTTTTGAGGGTCGTGTTACCAGCACCAAATTATGCCACAAAGCAGCATTCCCTTGCTGAAGATTTTGTTTCGGAAGACAAAAGACAAGAACGGCAATTTCTCTTGAGAAATTTAAGATGAAGCTGGTTGCTGGTCCAATGTTTACAACAAAGTCTGAATCCATCTGGCACCCGTATATCCTCACCCTGAATAAGCTGCAACCAAACACATTTTCTACGTGAATATATCTCCGGGCTTTTTATATTAGTTGGTTTTGAAAAAGGGTTTTCGATTTGTATTAAGAGTGTATTAATTATATTTTGTATGTAATTAATTTATATTAAAAAAATTAATTTTAAAATTTTCATTATCTATTTAATATCATTTATGTAACAACACTAGTGTTAAAAGTAATGCAAAATAATGTTTGTTCTTACATTTTTTATAATATTTTTTATGCAAAAAAGTGTAATTGATGTACAAGTTAGAAAAATTATTAAAAGAAATAAAAGTTAACCTTTATTTAATTAATTATCTAATTAAAATAACTCACTTGATATTAGTATTGCAATTAATGTTAATTTTTTTAGGAAAAAAATTAAGATATCATAATATTAAAAATATCAAAATATTCAATAATAATTACACGATAAAATTGAGAGAATTAGGGCCTATAGCATATCTTACACATTTAATGTTAGTAATTGGATGTCATAATATTTGTAATATTAAATCATTTTATTATTATTTTTTAATATTAATTAATATCTAACAGTACAATAATTGCATCTTAGGATACAAATTAT